GGATTGAGTCTAAAGAGCAGTGGTCAATGGCTCATTGTGTAGATGGAGGTCAGTGATGAGTGGTGTCCCCCAGGGGTCAGTGCTACCAATAATCTTTAATATCTTCATCAGTGACATTGATGACAGTGGGGCTGAGTGCACCCTCAGCAAGTTTGCTGATGACACCAAGCAGTGGGATGTGATTGACACACCAGAGGGATGGAATCCCATTCAGAGGGTTCTAGGCAGGCTTGAATAGTGGGCCCAGATGAATCTCATGAGGTTCAACAAATCTAAATGAAAGATCTTGCACCTAAGTCAAGGCAACCTTCGCTACCAGTACAATCTGTAGGATGAAAGAATTGAGTGCAACCCTACCGAAAAGGATCTGGGGGTACTGGTGGATGGGAAGCTGTACATGAGCCAGCAATGTGCCTTTACAGCCCAGAAAGCCCAGGAAGTATCCTTGTCTGCATCAAAAGAAGCATGGCCAACAGGTTGAAGAAGGTGAACCTGCCCCTCTACTTTGCACTGGTGAAGCCTCACCTGGTGTACTGTGGAGCCCTCATTACAGGAGATACATGGACCTGTTGGAGCATGTTAAGAGAAGAGCCACAAAAATGATCTAAGAAATGGAACACCGCTCCTATGAAGACAGGCTGAAATATCTGGTGCTGTTCATACTGGAGAAGAGGAGGCTCCGAGGTGACCTCATAGCATCCTTTCAGTACCTAAAGGGAGCTAGAAAAAAGAAGAGGACAGACTCTTTACCAGGGTCTGTGGTGATAGAACAATAGGAAATGGCTTCAAGCTCAAAGAGGGTAGAATTAGGTTGTCCATAAGGAAAAAGTCTTTTACAGCAAGGGTAGTGAGGCACTGCAACAGGTTGCCTAGAGATGTAGTTGATGCCCTGTCCCTGGAGACTGTCAAGAGAAGGCTGGGTCAAGCCCTGGACAACCTGATTTAGCTAGGCACGTCTCTGTTCACTGCAGGGGAGCAGGACTAGATAACCTCTAAATGTCCCTACCAACTCTAAGGATTCTATTTGTGTTACTTTAGAAGACCTTGTGCTTGTTCATTAACTTTCAACATTTCTAGACTTACAATAATGGTATTCAAGCTTATTTAAACTTGTGTATTAATTTTTCATAAATGAGTTTATTGGACTAGTAATTTGGTCTAAAAAGACTGTGAGCATCTACCGATGATGATCTGTTCACAAATGTTGAGATAAAAAATAAATCTTCCTTGGATGAGCATCCCATTACTAATACAGTCTAAATGGGTCTTTGGTGTAAAATATAATCTTTTCCTTCTATTCCCTTCCAACTTCCCACTATGTCATCATCAGAAATAATAGGGGGTTTTTAACCCTTGATTTGTAATAGTTAACCCTTTTGCAATGGAGAACATCAAGGCTCTTTGTTCTACTCATTCCAAGTTTCCATCTTGGAGCATCAGTTGTATAATTTCAGCAATTTTTTCAGTGAATATTTGTGAATACCTTCTTTTTAATCAGTGTTTACCACTTTTCCGCTCTGCTTGCATTCAACAAATTAGGACAAGGCTGTTGAATGGGTTCTCATTTTTTCTTAGACTTTCCTTAAGGATTAAAACCAAAGCAGTGTGCTGACTTTCTTTTTGGCCTGTTAATCTGGGATGTTTTTCTATTTTTAATTAGCTGCTCAAATGCATTTGTCATGAACATTTTGTAGAATTCTGTTATCACTTTCTTTCTAAATCACAGAGAAATTCAGGATTTTCTTTAGATTCAAATTTTCTTTAGATATTCTTGTACTGGATCATTACATGCATAACTTTAATTAGCAATATATAGTGGACAAATACACTGTGTTTGAGGCAAATGCCAGAGATCATTCTCAGGGAAAATTCCCACTGACATCCATATGGGTTTTGTCTGAGTAAAAATTTTGTAATTTGGCTTTTTGTTTTAGAGGATTGGAATCATCTTTTTTTTTACTCTGATCACTCATTTGGCCTCCAAGTACCTTGGCTAGCTTGGTTTTCAGTAAATGTCTGAAAGCTGTACTGGTACACTTCCAGCATCATAGGATTCATATTTATCCTTATATGTGTATTTGGACTTCTTCAAGTCATAGCAGCTATTTCTGGCTCATTGTCCTAATTGTAGAACTCTTCCCATTTTCAAACAAGAACTGATTCTGAATCCTGCTATTTTTACAGCAGAGAGTTGAACTTTTCCTTTATATCCATGTATATATAATCAAAATTTAGTTCAAATATCTCTAGATCTGTATTATAAAGTATTGTTTCATTAGGTACTCTCATAAAAAAATATATAGACACCTGCATTCCAGGAGGTCCTGTAGTCTCTTATTCAAGGGTAAGATAACTTGGCAGATTCAGAGAAAATAGATAAACTGTTCTGATCCAGATGTAAGTGTGAAATGCAGTTAAAGGACATTGAAATAGTTACTAGGAAAATTAAACATAACTTGACCAAATGTGAACACTAAAAAAAAAAACAACTGGCAATTGAAAAGAATTGCTATAGTGATTCCTGAGCTTCATTAACTGTGATGTTGATTTTTATGTGAAGCGTAAGTAGTGCAAAAGGACTCTGTGATCCTTAGGTCGGACATCAGGGGGAAATTCTTTACCCAGAGAGTGGTGAGGTGCTGGAACAGGCTGTCCAGAGAGGTTGTGGATGCCCCATCCTTGGAGGTATTCAAGGCCAGGTTGGATGGGGCCCTGGGCAGCCTGGTTTAGCATTAAAAGTGGAGGTTGGTGGCCCTGCATGTGGCAAGGGGGTTGGAGATTCATGATCCTTGAGGTCCCTTCCAACCCTGGCCGTTCTGTAATTCTGTGATTCTGTGATGTTAAGTGATATTTGCACTTTCAAAGCAGAGATCCACTGAATGTAGATCAATTGGTACCCTTTCTTGATTTCTTCTTGAATATATTTTATTAATCTGAATAGTATATGAAATTTGAAGTGTAAAACAAGCTACAGTGCTAGAGTTTACTTTAGATTTGTTTGATATACTACCATAATATAGGATATATGTATAATTTTATATAAATATAATGCATAATATAATATATAATAATATAATACATTATAATACAATATATAATACCAAATATATATAGTAGAGTTTCAGAGTCACATTTCTACTTGGATGTTAGAGAAAAACTTCCTGCAAGCCTACCACATTACTAGATTCCCAGGGATTGGTAGAAAGCAAATATCAATCGTGGGACTGCCTTTTAAGGCAGATATACAAATGATCTCTTCATACAGGTAAAAAAGACATGGAAATGCTAATTTAAGACAGTCATTTAGATGTCAGTGTGTTCACATATCTGTTCTACGTGTCAGGACCAATCAATGATCAAGATGAATAACACTGGATCAGAGTGTCTATGAATTAGGGTGCAACAGAGAATCCTCGAGATGTTGCAAATTAGGAGAGAATGAACAGTGTGTATATCGCCCAAGAGTACTTCTAAATTTCCAAGCAACCTGTGTCCTATTACCCATCAAGATTATTATTTCATTTTTTCCAAAGTACTCTTATTCTCTTGTTTCAGATTTATGAAAAAAATATTACTTTTTTTACTAGGCTGATAAACATATAAAAAAAACTATAGTAAGAGTAGTTTACATGACCAATGATACAGATCTGAAATGTATGTGATTGTGGTAGTCACGGTCAGAAGGGGATACAGCAGTGTTTGTTTTTTTTTAGTCATGATACACTGTCATTTCAGAAAGGGCTCTGAGCAGTGGATATTTTTCTCACATAATCTCTGCAATCATTCAGCACACTTCAGTTTTCCTCACTTAGCTTGCATCCCAGAGTTTAGCTTTTAACATTTAGATATGATTAGACTATGTTTTTAGCTAGTTTGAGTGGCAGAAGACCATATTCTTCTCAGCTTTTTCTTTATCTTGTTTTCTGCAGACCCCCTTTGTTCTTCCCAAATTTTATATTGAAAGGATGCTGTCCTTTTTTTTCCTTCACTCTGCATCCCGTAACATATCCCACAGCACTAGGTAGTGATTCCCCTAGTCCAAAAGGAGATGTGGCACTGACTCATCTACATGGTTTAATTGTGAACAAGTGATCTGGAGTAATTTTCTTTTTTCTTGTCTTGTAACACACGGTGGGTTTAGAGGGAAGTGAATTTTTTTCTACCTCCTGAGTCACACCTCCTTTAGTCAGCAGGGGTCACTACAGTGATGAAGTCATTCAGGACTCGAATAATAGACAGCAGTTAGTTATCAAAAGCTTTCTTAACAACAACTAACAACAACAGCTACTTGAAAGTAAAATTGGCTAATTTGCTAATTACGATCAATAAGCTTTACAGGTAAGACAATTTTAGGCAATGGCTACTACAAAGAGTAAAAAAATAAAAGAAGATGAAGAGAAAAAATAGAAAACAAGGAAACACAGACAGACAGGTATACAAATACAGCAAAGCAGAGCAGTTCACTGCTCCCTGATCAGTGATGTCTTGGTTTCAGGTGTTGATATTCGGTAGAGATGGGTTATAGGAGGTTGTGTTGTTCAGTTGACAGTAACTAAATGCAACAGTACAAACTCTTACATTTAGTCTGAAGTGACTGAGCTACTTTTGGAGTGACAGCTTCTGGCTTTGGGATCTCAGCAGGACTTCCTTTATTCCTGCCTTTCAGGCCTTGCAAATTTAAGTCAGTGGACAAGAAGCAGCAGGGGGAGGCTAGCTTGTATGTGTTCACAGGATGAAACAGTATCATCTTTATATTTCCTGTATCAAGCTGGTTTGATTTGCTCCCGTGTCAATCTTCAGCCAATCAACACTCCTGGTCCCTCCCTTTCAAACAACTTTAGAGAGACTTCCAAACGTAAAATTGTCTATATAATGGTGTTGATTACCTCATGTTGATTTGAAGTACTCCTTACTAGTCTTAGACATTTCCTGATCATAATGTTTATTAATGTTTATTCTCTTTATTCACCCTTTTTTTTTTTTTTTTTTTTTTTTTTTAGGAGCATCCAAGACCGGAGTATGAAACCAAACTGCTGCAGAAAAAGCTGAAAAACAAAAACATGAATACAGAAAATACAAATGAAGTAAGTTGCAGCGTATTTTTTCTCTTACTCAACAGCCTAGGCTGTCTCTGGTCTTAACCTCTTTAATGATGTTGGTTAGCACCACGTCTAGCAAAACCTCACTTCTTGTTGGTCTGTCCAATACCTGAGCAAAGAAGCTATTGTCACCAGATATCTAGATGGTTGAAATCACGCATCAGGATGAGAGCCTGTGAGTGTAATGCCTCTTGTAGCAGAAGAAGGCTTTGTCAACAATCTCCCCTTGACCAGACAGCCTGTAGAAGACCATTACCACTACATGTCCTTTATTGGTCTGTTCCTTAATTTTAACCCACAGATGTACCAGTGCTTTTCACTTTAGAAGATCCTGAAAAGTTAGACATTGAATATGATGAGTACTGAATACTAGAATAGCCATTCCACCTTATTTTTTGAGATTTTAATCCTTTATTTCTCTGCCTTTGAATAGTTGTATGTTTTACCCATTGTAAGACTTACAAAAAGGTAGCTTTTGCATGATTTCTTGATATTAAGGCATAGGCTTCCATGAGATCTCTGGCTTAGTAATTTCATCATTTTGGATATTAGTAATGGACATCCCCTAGTACTGGGCTTTTCATCAAATAGAGGTCTCTCTGCAGTTAAAGATTTCCTCATTTTATGTGAGTACACAGATGCCTGTGAAGTCTCAGTTTCATTGTATCTTCATTCACTGTCATGCCATGACATAGATCTCTATGAATTTCTTGCCTAAATATATTTTGAGAACTAGTATAACTAAGTCATTCATTTTGCACATAGCTGGTAAACAGCTGTAATTTGCTGTATGTTTGTCAACAGTTTATGGACTGTTTTGGCCTGGTTCTGTGACTAGTGGGATGGAGGAATCAGTGGACCCATCTCCCGGGAAAAGGAAAAGGGTAGGGAGATGGGCCTAAAAACAAAACAGTGGCAACCATCTGCAGAGAAATAAATTAACTTACTAAATGTGACATTGGAATGCAAGATAACAACACATCATAGTACTATATAATAACAAATGAAGTTAATAAATAAAATGAGAATGTTTGAAAACCAAAGGCCTTACTCTGAGTAACTTGAGCCGATATGGCCTGGAGCACAGATGTGTTGGAAGGTTGAAAAAAGGAGGGATGTCTTATGATCTACGAGCAGTTTTATCTTTCCCTCTGAAGAGAAAACAAACAGAACTATGCAAAGTCCTCTGGGGTATGTAGTTGTCTTCTGAGAACCAGGTACCCAGGACTATCTACAGAACCAAAGCATTAATTCTTTTAACTCCCAGTGCAGTATATCATGTTACGATGCAAAATACAGATAAAAAAAATCATAAAACCATGACAGCTCTGACACTAGTGGCTAAAACTTCTAATTACTTACTTAAAATGAAATCAGAAGTCTGCTGTTCCACAGCTGATGCTTTCAGGACAATTATGATGCTAAAATTATACTCTTGAGAATACTAAATTAGAGTTTACTTAGATGTATATTCCTGTGATACTACTTGTGTTTTTCCAGTATATTTGTCCCTCTGTTCTGGCAAGAATGTGACTAGTTTTACAGCAATAAATTGAGTTTTTGCGGAAATCTCATGTTTAGTACAATTTCATTCAGTGTCCTGAGTACAGATATAATTATGAGCTTTATCTAACTGAAGCCTAAGCTGCTTATTTACAAAAGTGATGCAGATCTTCCTATTAAAGTGAGTGGATGCCTTACTCCAGTTGTTGGAGGAGATGGTTCAACATGTATACCCAGAACAAGATTAAGACACCAAATGAGTCCAAATGTTCACCAAATGGTTTATTACAGGTTCTAAGCAGTTAAGGAATGCAGGGAAGATGGGGAGGTCAACAATCAGGAATCCTAGTAAACAGGTTATGATGTAGAGACAGTTACCATTAGGAGCCCAGTGATATCTTGCTGGTTTGAAGGGGGCTGCAGGCTGATCAGTGATGTCTTGTTGACCTGTACTGCTGCTGCTCAGTGGAGGGAGCACCCACTACTACCTCTGAACTTTTTTTTTTTTAATTCTTCATTCTGCTTTCATGCATCTCTGGTTGCTCAAGGCAATAGCCTTCCTTCCAAGTGTGGAAGTCAGCAGTTGATCATGCAATAATCACGTCCACTACCTGGGCTGTTGGACACATGCTAACTCCATAGCAATCATTTTCTCCAAAATAAGTAATAAAGTCTGCAGTTACTGACTTACAATCGTATTGTGTCCAGTGAAAGACTATAACAGATTACAGATTTATAGTGGTCTCAGATTAAATAATAAGACTCCTGAAGACTGCTGGATTTTGATTTAATGCCAATGCTTGAATAAGGAAAACTAGAGTATTTTCCCTTTCCTGTGTCTGGTTATAAACTCCTGTATCTGAGTACATTTTTTACCTTCCGTTGACCATGCTTATAGGGAAAATTGTATGCTATTGATCTCCAATGTTAAAACAGAAGCCTACATTTAGGACAAATTTACATAAATAGCTTGTGGAAACAACATTAAATTAAGATAGTTGCCAAGATGATTACAATATTATATTAATGCATGCAGCAAACGTGTCTGCATTTTTAAATACATTTACCTTAAACTTCTTTGGGTATCTGCTCCCTGAAAAGATGAAGAAGCCAGTTGAAACTGCTCAACTTTTTTAGCTATTATCACATTTAACTGAAAAAGACACTTGCCTGCTGATCCGTTAACTTTTGTGATACACTTGATTTTGAAATAGGATGGCAAGCTGTTTGGAAGATCTTTCACATTGTGGTATTTCATGAAATAGGTAAACTTGAATTCTTAATTGACCATTCAAATCATTTTTATTGATGTCACCTGGGAATCATACAAATTAAGGAGGAAGAGACCCCATGTTTACTTATGGAATAATTGCTAATAGTTTGAAGTTCAGAAACAGCTTGGTAGAATTTTTCACTTTAGAGCTGAAATTTGTAGTATTGATTGTTCTGATAAACTGAATGTTCAAGCAACTTAAATAACAAAATAAGGGAATCTTTCAAAGAGACAGAAAAACAATACGTTTTTTTCCCCTGGTAATTGTACATCAGTGGAAAGCAATGAAAGATCCCTATTAAAAGATTGCCTTATTCAAAGCTGCAAATGAGAATTGCAATAAAAGTGTACCACACAACATTTCTCATAGAAGAAATCCATCCTACTTGGGAATTCCTTAAAAAGTGTTGGTTAATTTCTGCCTACAGATTTAAGACATAAGTACTTCAAGGAGATGAACAATGTAACAAAATACAGAAAAAAAAATCTATTTTACATATTCATAATTGATCTACTTATGAATATGCAAAATTGCTTCTAATAGGATCTTGACAACACCAAGGAAAGTATTCACAGGTAAGCCAATAGTTGCACACACACAGATGAGTTGAACTCATCCAGCTGGTGAAGGGGATCTTCAACTGTACAGCAACCCAGGGAATAACCTAGGTTCAAAAGATGTTCTTGCATCTCTGGCTGGCCCTTATATGAACCCAGGGTGGCTCCACCTTGGATCCACCCCTTCTGATCACATGCGGAGCACAGATGCAAACAATTTGCCTGTGCTCCCTAGGCCAGCTACACCCCTTCACCAGGTGCTCATTCACCAGTTGAAGTTGTGACCTAACAGCTCCCTACAATGATTTATCAAAATTTTGAAATTTCAGGTTTAAGGTGTTTCAAAATACACTGTGTAAGGAAAGAGTCTTTTTATGTTCGAATTTTTTGTAGAACAATTATTCTGATATTAATTTTACACTTTTTGTCCTGGTGCATGCAACACATATTTAAAGGTATCAGAAAAGAAGTTTTACCAGGCCTTTTGAGGTAATGGATCTGTGACAATGATCAGATATGCTACCTTATCAATCCTCCCACACAGTTGCTAACATACAAAAAAGTTGTTTTATTTATTGGAGATTATTATTTATTGTAACTGTTTCATTACTTATGCTTTTCTGAAGGATAACTTACAAATACCATGCAAAACACCATTTCATGAAAGGAGATATTTTATCTTGAAAAAATGATTCTTAATAGTATGAAAATTAAAGCCAATATGATCTTCTTTGGCAGTAGTTTAAGGGCAAAATTATCAAATATAGAAATGTGGAATATGTGGCCTTAACTTATAGATAAAGCAAACAAAACAATTTCAAATAACTCTTATTTTTATTAGTTTTAACCATAAGGAAGCTATTGCTATTGTTTTCCTTTCACTGGATCTGTTATCAATTAACTGGCAGCGTAGCAAATTGTAGTGTTCTTAAGGAAATATAATTTCAAGCTTGTGAGTTATAGTACTAGATATCATGAAGATCACAACAAAACTAGAGGAATGGCCTGCTATTCTCAAAACAATATTGACAGCAAATATGTTGCATGTGATAAATAAAAAATAACCTATAAATATTATTCCTTACTGGGATAAGATAAACTTGTAGAAACAAAGGGAATCAATTAGTAAATTACGATGTACTGAAGAACTTTGAGAGTTGAAGTATGTTTTCTGTGTTTTCCACATCTTTTAAAAGAGCAACACAGAATTGTTTTTTCCTAAATTTTATAAAGTTTACAGAGTTCAGGATTTTTCTAGACATGAGTTCTAGCTTAGTCAATTGATGGAACAAGAGGATTTCATTGCAATTTCAACCAAATCATTTGTAGTTTTAAGCTATTTCAATAGCATGTTTAAGATTTGACCAAAGTTTCTTGTTCCTAAGATATTGCCAAATATTAAGTCCTCTTACTCTGCTAGATTCTGATGCGGCAATTCAATACAAATAGGAGTCCAGTAACAGTTTGTGCAGTTCGTGAATTGTTAGAAGTGAATTTTTAATTCTCTTGCAAATATTAGAATTGCTGACTCTATCTGCACATTGTTACAATTTTAAACAAAAATCTAATTAATGTATTCGTTTATTGCTAGTTGCTTGAGGTGGACAAATAAAGATTCTATTGAACTTTTTTTCCCCCCAAGATCTGTGTGTCATAAAATATA